GACAGCATATCACAGCCACAGTTAAACAACAGGGTCCCGACGCGATCGAGCTCGTTTGCAACGCCCCTTTCGAGATGCCACTAACCATGCACACCTGAGTCATAAATATGATCCAAGGGAAAACGAGGTGCAAAAGGGAAATTCCATCAGAAACCAGGAAGTACACCCTCTGAAGGAGCAATTGGAACTCTACCCGTAAGTTAATTATGGAACCAACTATTTTCAGCTTAAACTGAATAGAATACATGAAGGTGCAACCATCGCCAAAAGCAATACAAAAAGTTAGTGAGAAAATATTTCATTGAAGTAGTAGATTATTCACAACAGGATATACACTTCTATAACATATAATTCGGAATACATATGCATGCGTTCTAATTAGAAAAACGTAATACAACGTAACAAAAGATAAACATAGAAATAGCGAGCAACATCAAAGGCATTTCAGTTGCGGCTTCCTCGAAATCCACAACGTCCCTGAAAACTTCTCCAATAAGATAGTTTCACAGCTTTGCAACTGATGAAATCCTTCACAGCTCTGCAACTGATGGAATCACCTGGAAATCTCTTCCACCGCCACCTCCGTATCCACCTCTAGATCGAAACCCATCACGGTTGCTATCACGTTCATCACGATCGCGATAGCTGTCACGGCTGTCACGGAAACGCTGTCCATCACGATCGAAACCCCTTCCACGTCCTCCTCGTTGGTCACCCCTGCCAAAACCACCTCTATCTCCATTATAACCGTCACCCTTTTCGGCACCATAGAATTCAACAGAGCCGAAGGCGGGTACATTTTCTTTCTCAACATGAGAAGAGCCCTGAAACAAGACAGTCTATCCACATACAACATCGAGTAAATGGTTACCGAAAGTCAATAACGACTTGTTTTGCTTTTATATGAGGTGGGCAACAAAATTAGGTCTCAAAAACGAGCCCACTTAGAGGCAAACTGTACAGGCACCTTCATGGATCCTGCCGTGCTAGGTGGCGGAAGTATCATAGTTCTACAGCTGCCAAACCTTTCTTCTCGAAGATGGCAAGGACCGTTCTCAGAGGTGAGTGTATTCTTTGAGGCCTGACCCCCAACCCCAAATGATCAATGAAAAGGCTTTGCCAGATATCGCATAATCCCTTGAAAAATAAAAGAAATTCCCTTGTGAAGTCATTCAAAGACCGTAGTGGAGCGCTGTGTTGGGGCTGCGAGGAAACGACGTTGTTGGTGTCATCCCCCATTTTTTTCGCCGAGAGAAGGACCAGTATCGTCTTTACCTGGCTCCACCCATCCAAAAACCCTAAGTGGTTTCTTCAGTTCTTCAATGGCACTTCATTAACTGTCTCAAATGAACTGACTGCTTACAAAGGAACCAGCTGTGCCGGAAGAACCGAATCCGCCAGTCATGAATCTTCTCTGAAACAACAACAAAATTAAATTTTGTAAGATGCCGTAATAGTGTTTTTAAAGATATGCAGCGCACTTGATCGCCCAAATTGTGTGCTACCCACAGATACACTGGTTCAAGGGAGAAGGAGTGAACATGAGCATCCCGGGGCGTGTCAAGACTATGAAGGAAATTGGTCGATCAGAACCATGCTCTTTTCGAGGCCCTTCCAAGTACGGCCCTCTCAAACCAAAAATTCAACTTCATTTAACTCAGCTCTACCCCAGGCACGTCCTGCCGCTTTGAAAAATTTTGCAAAACGCAATTCTTCCCCTTTAAAAATTTGCACCTCTACAATACCTCCTCTCCCTTCCTCATGCCAATCAACCTTATGAATTCTTCCGCTTTCTCCCCAAAAACCTGCCGAAGTATGGAGGGGTGGGTAGAAGGGTGCGTAGAGCAAGCACGAAACGGTAAAAACAGAGAAGTCAGCAACCAAAAACATTTCCCTCAGATGGGAGTGCGACTACCCTCCAGCGACCGCTAATACTGCCTTTTCCCATTGATGCGTCCCTTTCGGCAATTCAAAAACATCAAGCCAAAGCGAGCCGATATTTGCCGTAGCGGCCTAACGGCCTAAATAGATCCCCCCAGTTGTGGAATCTTAAAGGAGGGTCCATCCCATTTACTATACCAGAGTTTACCTCGTCGTTTACTGCATAATAACTTTAGATAGATAAGAGACCAAACCTAAGCCTTACCTGGGGTGGATGTTCCTCTTTCGCCTCAGTGACTTTCTCAGTCGAAGTCTAGAAATTGCCTTTGTGAAAACGTTAGTGTTATATCCTCTAAATGAAAACACTGCAGAAAAGAGATCCTTACATCAATCTTTTTCATGAACTGCTCTTGTGGTGGATGAGAGAACTCCGACGGTTCATCCCAGTCATCTGCCGCCCTCTTGCCACTATCGGTGAACTCCTCGCTCTAAGTTGAATAAATAAGAGCAAAGAAGTAAGGAACTAGATCAATTCTTAGCGTTCTTAGGAGAGCGAAACTTAGGAAGAGGAAAGGTAGTTAAACCGGCAAAACCTTTTCTTGAATAGCTTCCACAGATTGAGGTGATTCACTTGGGCTATAGTCCTCGACTTGACCAGTTCCTTTCGCAAAATCGTCTGCAAATTCCTTGCCACTACCACTTGCCGGCCTATCCTTGACGGGTTCTGAAAGTATGAGGTACATAGTCACACTCCAAATAGTGTGGAAAGGTCTGTCGCAGGTGAATGAAACTGCGTGGTCTCTGAAGTGTCTATGGTCCACTATTAGAAAAGTCTACAGTAAAGGTTTAAATGGTATTGCGCTGAATAATGCACAACAGCAAGACTCCAAAAGCTCAACATTCGCCATTCCCATATTACCATAACGAAATGTTCTCCTCTTGCCATTATTATTACAAGCATCACTCCAGGTAAAAACACAGCTTATCAAAAGAGCTATAAAATCCAAAGTCGCAACCAGAAACTCCGTTCACTAGTTGCCTTCCAATTAGAAGGTAACATAAGTCACCCAAAGTCAGCTAAGTTGCGCATAAACCTGTTTACACTTAAAGACAGTTCCCGCGACAAAAG